AAATACAGCTAACAAAGATAAACCAAAAAAGAGGGATCTGATATTTGATGACATACAATTTCACAAGAAGATTACGAAAACCACAACTTAATTGTAAATAAATTATTATCTACTTTGTACTAAAATGTTTAATGTACATAAGTGAAAAGATATATATTAAGGATCCTAACATTTTTATATTTTGCTTGTTTTTTTGTTTAACATTTATTTATGTTTTAAAACAAAAATATACTTTCGAAAAGGTATAAGTGTGTAAGAGTATATCAAGCAAGCCTTATACAGTTGCTAGGAAACAATATGTTTGATCTATACTTGTTATATATTAAATTGCTAGAATATACATATATCTCTACTGAATCCATCAGTGACATTAAGCACAGTGACGTTTTTCTCATGTAAAATTTCGATTTATACCTTTTGTGTATATAAAATAGTATAATATACTCAAGAATATTACGTTTTTCAAATATTTTTTCAATCAAATACTGGTACCAAGAAAGAATATCAAAATGGTAAATGAAACGGAATTTTGGACTGAAATACGAAAAGACATACCGCAATATAAAAAGAAAAAACCCAGAGTTGTTCCTGCTTTTACTATTCAAGCTTTACAGGTAATATTTCAATATTATAAAAATACACTTAGATTGACATTTACCCAGATTGACATTTCTTCGTAACATACCTAGGAAAACACTGTAGTTGCAAAACCTCCTCGATATGGATTGTATAAAACACAACCATCTAAACCATCAATATTTCGCAAGTTCTATGAAGGTGGCGTTTTTCCAGTTGCATTAGAAAAGGATAATTATGGCACAAAACTTAGCTGGAAAGTTAATATTGTGGATTTAGATTTCCACCATTATTTGCCATTATTTTTTTATGGTTTAACAGAAACTGAACAGCCAATTAAATTTATAGTAGAACAAGGAATATCTGATATGTTAGAACATGGGGGTTCAAAAGTGTTACCCGTTGTACCTCAATTAATAATTCCTATTAAAAGTGATTTTCTATTTCTTACATTACATAAGTAATTTTTGAAACGTAAATTTATTTCATTTTATCAGAATGTGTTCATTATAGAAGCCTTAAATACAAAAATGCCGGAAATTATTTGTACAACTTTAAGAGCCCTTCAGAATCTTGTACGCTCGGTAGATTGTGTTGGAGAAGCTTTAGTTCCATATTTTAGGCAAATTTTGCCAGTTCTTAATTTGTTAAAAGACAGAAATGGTAAGATTTTAATTTGTTTTTATACTATCTTATGAAAATGATGAAATTCGATATTTCAGTAAATCTTGGAGAAGGTATTGACTACTCACAACAAAGAGGTGAAAACGTATCAGATATGATACAAGAAACTCTTGAATTACTTGAAATGTATGGAGGTGAAGATGCTTTTATAAATATTAAATATATGGTTCCAACATATGAATCTTGCATGATGAATTAAGTACTATTTATTTACTGTCTATTTACTAATCAGGTATGATCTTAAATTATACAATTTTAAAAATACATAAAGGGAACACCCATTATAATAAATATGATTATTTATATTATACAAAATGTTACAAAAATGTAAGAGATTATCATTATCATATACTGAATTATTCATAAATTATGTTATATCAATGTATTAACTTTATTTATATCTTTCCTGGATCCTCTTTTAATGTTACTGTCTTGTTAAAAACGAGCTATAATAAAGGAATAAAATCAGTAAAAATAATACTATTTAAGTTGACTTTCATGATCTTAATTACCTTTCCTGGTGTTGTATCAGGATCCACAGAGAAGAAACCAATGCGTTCGAACTGGAATTTTTCAAAAGGTTTTGCTGATTTTGCTAAACTTGCATCAACGTATCCAACTATTTCTTTTTTACTAACTGGATTCACATCACTTAAGAAACCATTTGGTACCTCATTAAGATCTTCAGGATTCTTATGTTTAAATCTGAAATTTACATTATATACAAGATAAAAATTATTAGAATTATCTAATATGATCAAGTCAATAACAATAAATTATTGCATTATTCAAATACTTACAAACGTTCATATAATTTAACAGATGCCAATATAGGATTTGATACCCAATGTATAAAAGCTTTAGGTTTGTTTGAATCAGAAATGGATTCTTGTGTGACAATTAAATTTATTATATTACCACTGCTATCCCTTTCTATTTCTTTAACTTTCAGTACTATTCCTACATACTTTAAACCAACAGATTGGTTTGGCGTTAAACGTCTAAAATCTTTTCCTGCGTTCTATAAATGTATAATAACATTTTTAATGAAATGACAATAAATAACATTTCCTCTATGATTGAAATTAAAAAAATTGTGTATACTTCTTTGAAATCAGATGTTTCAATATATATAACTTCATCAAAGGTAATATCATGTTGTCCTTTGTCTGGTTCATTAGGAAAATTAGGAACAGTTACTTGTATGGGATTTTCATGAGGAAAATTGCTAATGGTTATTTTTAACGGTTCTAAAACTGCCATATATCGACTTGCAGTTACATTTAAAACATCTCTAACACATGCCTCCAAGACAGATGGATCAACAACTGCTTGAGCACCAGTTACACCCATTTGAGCACAGAAGTTGTTTATAGCTTCCGATGGGAATCCTCGTCTACGAAGAGCTGTCAATGTAAATAATCTGGAAAAAATGTATGTGTACTTTATATTGATTTAACATTTTGTTTTTGAATATTACTGTAGTATAAATTTTTATGTTACATAATGTTAAAATATACCTAGGGTCGTCCCAATCAGATACAATGCCTTCCTCAATCAATTTACTAATTTTCCTTTTCGAAACAACAGTATAGTTCACATTCAACCTACCATATTCCCACTGTACCGGGCAATAAATATCTAAAGCATTACAAAGCCAATAGTATGACGATCTCCTTGATTGAAATTCTTTGGTACAAAGAGAGTGAGTTATGTTTTCTATGCTATCACATAAGCAATGAGTAAAATCATATGTTGGGTAAATACACCATTGGTCTCCTGTTCTATGGTGTGAAGCATATTTTATTCTATATGCAACTGGATCTTGTTTTCCTTCCTCTAATGTTACTTTCATGCGTAATGTAGCTTCACCTTCCTCGAGTAATCCATCTTTCATATCCTATATAGAAAAATATAAAATCAACCTAAATACCACATTCATAGTATACTTAAAATTTTTTTAAATCAGATTCCAAAATGTAATAAATTTGTCTAAAGAAAAACATAATTACATTAAATAATTGTAAACTTTCTGAAATAGGTCTATTACGCCAAGGGCTTGGTGGTGGATTGAAACCTTTTATTTCTTTGCTAGACTGATGACAAACATATGCCAAACCTTTTTGGATAAGCACAATAGCCCATTCATATAACTGTTGGAAATAATCTGAAGAATGAGTAATTTTAGCAGGTTTATAACCAAGCCATTCTACCATTTCATGTATACCAGTGAAAAACTTTTCTTCTTCTTTTTCGGGATTTGTATCATCGTAACGTAAATAACAAATTCCATCATAAGCTGCAGCATATCTATAAATTACAAACTACTGTTAACAACAATTTAAACTACTAAAGTTAAAAATTATTTATTAGGATAAAACATACCCAAAATTAATATTGATTGCTTTTGCATGACCAATATGTAAAATTCCATTAGGTTCTGGTGGAAACCTAGTTATTACTTTACCCCCTGTTGTTTTTAAATGTTCTTGAAGTAGTCTATGTGTATTTGTTGTTAGAATATACCCTTCAGTTTTATAATTCTCTCCTGGTTTATGAAAATGAACTTTAGTCTTCATTAACTCACTTATTGTATGAACACCTACTTTCTCATTTATTGATATTATACTTTTATGTTCTAATAAATAACAAGACATTAAATTATTTTTCATTGAAAAATTTTGTAATAATCAATAAAGTGTAGTCACCTTTTCTGTCCACCTCAAAAATATCAATTATTTCAAGTATTAGACGAAAACATTATTTACAAAAGTTGTGTGATTGTAAGAAAAACATGACATGGTGGCAGTAGATTCCTTACAGGTGGAGGCAGAGAGGAGATTTCGAGGTCATTTTGATTTTGTAAATGCAATGACTAATTTTTTATAGTCAAATTAGATAGAATAGCGAATTTTGAGTATAAAAGTACTAAAGTACATTCATTCTGAAATCACATTTATCACCCTACCTGAGATATTTGACTTTGTACATCCATATTTTCATTATGAAATATTTTTTTATGAAAAATATTATGTATAAAGGAACACCAAGAACACTGCAAAATATGAGGCAATGGATAACTGCAGTGCATGTTGGAATAGACCCCACAATGATAAGATGTAGAAGAGATTCAATGGTTCACAGATTACAACACTGTATCAATGTACATACTTGACACTTCAAGCCTGTTTCATAATGAAAGTAATAGAATGAAGAAAATCAAATATATCAGGAACAATAAGTTTTAAGATAAATATATAAAATAAATGTATACCTTAGTACCTAGTATACCATTTAGTACTTTTATACTCAGAATTTGCTATTTTATCTAATTTTACTATAAAAAAATAAATCATGACATTTAAAAAAATAAAGTGGACCTCAATATCTCCTCTATGCCTTCACTTGTAAAAAAAAATATTGCCAGCATGTTATGTCTTCCTTGCACCCATACAACTTTTGTAAGTAATGTTTTTATCTAATACTTGAAATAATAGATATTTGAGGTGAGCAGAACAAGTGGAACATCCTGTATAAATATACATAATTAACTTACCTTTTTCTTTCTCTGTCTTTTTTACTTTAGCTTGTTTTATTGCCTTAGGTAGGGGTGTAAGATCAGAGTCACACTTTGCACCTAACAAATCAAGCATCTGGACGTCAAATTCATTTTTTATTGCTTTTCCATCTGCCCACTTTAAAGTATTACGTACTTGTTGCATTAATAAACCAACGTTAAAATGATATCTGTAAAATTATATTTTATATCTCATATGATTTATAACATTTGCAATAATATATTAAAATATTAAGTGATTAAGTAAAATAATATATACCTTTTCTCTATTATTTCTGTTTTATGTGCACTTATAACTTTTTCTATTTCATATTCTATTTCTTCTGGTGATACAATAACACCCACACCACATTCTTTCTCAAAATTAGATATATCAATATTTTGTGTTATATTATTAAGTAAATAATTTAATGCAGCGTCTATTCTTTGAATTGTATCTAATTTTTTTTCAGCTATGTATTGAGTAAGAAATAACAATTTGTCTGCAATTTGATTCTTAATTTTTGAAGCAAGATGGTATAACAAAATTCCAACTTCAGGTGTAATAACTCCATACTTATTAGCCTACAAATATGATACATATGGTACAGCTAAATGTAATAGAACTTACATCTTGTTGAAATAGAATGAAATGAATCCATTTATAATATACTTAATTCATTGATAACATTACATTGTTAAACGACAACAACAAAAAAACGAATACTATTCAAAATATGCATATAACACATACTTAAATAATTTACTAACCTCTGTTATAGCAAGTTTTAAATTATTAGAAATTTGTTTATTTTTTAGAGTTTCTTTACATTTGTTCTCACTTAAACCAATAGATTGAAATAATTTTACATCATTTTCTGATTCCATTATCATATTTGCTTCTTCCTTTTGTGTGAAAATAGAAATGGTTCAAAAATCGGCAAATTACTTGGTTCTTATGAACATAATATACTTACTTAATGTGTAGGTTATATTGTAATAGAAAAAGAAGGGATATAATACTTATTACGAAAGTTTAGTTTAAATTTCTGTGTTCCAAAACTTATCAGCGTTATTGCTTTCTACATATATTAAGATTGTGCTTCAATCTTTTACTTTAATAACGAAAATATACGTGTCCCATCTCAAGTCTTTCTTGATGAAATACATAGAGGGACTCTCCTGCAAGAGTTTCACATTTAATACATAATAATAATTCATATTTAAATATCGTATTTGAAGATACATATGGATGATACGAAAAAATGTTTAAGATAAAAATTGCACGATATCGAGGGAGGCATATTATACTCTTGTATATTTGACCTTGTGATGACCTTTAAACGTTCTGTGAAGGTCATATTAAAGTCTTTAAATAGGCACCTGCATTTTTTATTACATATTCTTATGGCTAACATTGAGACGTTTCCAAAACACTACAAATTCGTGCCCTTCGCTCTATCCACTATCAAAATATGAAACCGGTATTAGCGTTACCCGATGTACTTATTCAAACTCACACGTCAGTACGAGACATCTGATGGTCGTCGCCTCAACTATTCAAGCTGCAAGTGTCGCTGTCCAGACAGCCAGGCCGGGGGACATTACATATGATATATTGATAATAAATAACATTTATCACAATTACTTATATAAGGTTATTCTATCATTACATTATTTTCTATCAACAAATTTAATCAAATTTATCCCTTTTAAAAATTACGAATGATTAAGTGCTATGGCCTTATTAAACTTTAGTAATTGCAACTTGATTAATGAAAAACCAATATTTAGTCTATGTTTTTCTCAAATGTAATCAAATGTAAGATTGGAGATATATTGATGTTTCATTAAACTTATTTATAATGAAACAGAGATATTATTTATAAATGAAATATATCTGCATATACATTAAAAATAAAAAATGATTGAAAGCAATGACGATGATTTACAATTATGTCCTGTGACACTTGCTGCCTTAAATGAATTTTTAAAAGAGAAAGAAGAAAGAGAAAAGCAATTAAAGCACAATTTGGAAAATCAAACTTTAGATATTGCTTTTGATGAAAACTGGGTACG